CAACTTGTCTTTGCCCCTCTTAATAAGACTCTTCAGTGTGTTAGGGATAGTGAATGCTAATTTACAATGGAACACACTAGAAATAGGTAGAAAACTTTCAGAAATTGATTTGACATAAGGAATAGTAAAATATTTGTCTTTAACTGGTAGATTATGTGTAGTATCTTTATTAAGTGTATGGAATTTTATTCTTTGTTCTATTGTGGAAAAAAGTAAGGTTAGTGGATAACCATTATCTAGAAAAGTGTCGATAGCTTCAATCAAGTTTTTCTGGTGGAACGATGGATGTGATAGTAATAGAATCTTGTCTATGGAGCTGATAATTGTACCTTTCTTGTGGCAGAAAGGATGGTTGGAGTAAAAATTGAGGAATCTACCGGAAAAAGACTTTTTATGAAAAATATCAAAAATAATTCTATTATTTTGTATGATAATTTTAGTGTCTAAAAAACTGATTCTACCCTCGGTACCAACTTCCAAAGTAAATTGTAATCGGGTATGTAATGAATTGAAAGTGTTGAGTGTGTCAATTATATTGTCAGATGGAAGCGCAAGTATAATATCATCTACATATCTAAAGTAGAATATCGGCTCAACCCTTAGCTTGTTAATGGCACTCCTCTCAAGATCTTGAAGAACCATATCAGCAATAATAGGTGATAGAGGTGAACCCATTGGAGTACCAAATACTTGCTTATAAATTTTTTTATTAAATGCAAAGAAAGTTGACCCCAAAATAAATCTAACTGCAATGATAAAGTCACTTTTTGGAATGCAAGTCTTCGCCGAGATGTGCTCCCATCTCCTATCAATGCTATTCAATGCTAGATCGGTAGGAGTATTTGTAAAGAGGGACACCACATCAAGCGAAGCCAAAACATAACCTGGGTCAACAATTCTACCGTTCAATTTTTCTACCAATTGAAAACTGTCTTTAATATGACTAAACGTCTTCGGTATACTATTATTAATGACGTTGTGTATAAAAAGAGAAAGAGCATATAATGCCCCATTAATGTAAGACACTATAATTCTCAATGGGTTATCATCCTTATGTATTTTGGTTAAACCGTAAGCTCTAGGAATAACACCATCAGTAGTAAGTAATCTGCGATATGTAACATCGTCAATAAAACCATTGCGCTTCCATATTACCAACAAAATACGCAGGTTCTGAGTTACTTTTTTTGTAGGATCATTGGTAATCTTTTCATATGTATTCGAATTTATAATAATTTAATCAAATTGAGCGTTAACATTAGGGTACGCATAAAATTCCTAAATTCTTGTTTGAAACTCGAAATAGTTCCTCCGCATTTGCGCAAACTCGTCAAATCTAACGACGTCTCTCTATATAATAATAATTCTTACAGAAAGCTTCAAAGGTTACAATTAAATTATGTAAAAACAGTTATACGACTAGAGTTGAGTGATGCTTACTGTCATTTAAATTTTACCAGAACAGACATTTTCCAATTTTCTAATACAGTTCCTGGTTTGTTACCATACTTTTTAAGTTGCGGATTTTTTAAATATTTGGGTCATATAAATAGTTCATTTTTCGTAAAACAGTCTAATAGAATAAATAAAAAAATTGAATGGCTTTTACATAAAAAACGCAAAATTACCAAATCCAATATTAAACCTATTTCTTATAATTGTTCGGTTTTCAATATAAACAACAAATATTTTAATAAATGTCAACTCACACACTATGACAATCCAACTAACAGTTACATCGACTCCGAGAGAATTGATATTCAATCACAATATTTTAAAGAAACTTCCTCTTTGGATACCTTACATAATAAATGGTTTGTCAATTTGAGTGACAGTGACATTCCTTTGGAAGTTAAACTTTTATTACAACTTGGTGAGAAATTTGGCCTACCAATTAATAAGAACAATAAAGAAAAGACCTTGGTAGAGTTCATTAAACAAATTGAATGTAATATTATTGGTAGACCAAAAAACATTATAAATTTTGTCAGAAATAATTCCACTTCAATACTTAACAGATTTCAAAACAATTTTCCCTCTCTTAACTCATATGATAAACAAATTTGTCATTGGTTACAGGCCACAAAGAAATTTATTAGCGACCATCCTAATTTATTAATCACTAACGCTGACAAGGGAAATGTCACTGTTATACTTGATAATAATGTATATATTGAAAAAATGGAGGAAATTCTCTCGGATTCGAATACATATGAAAAGATTACCAATGATCCTACAAAAAAAGTAACTCGGGACCTGCGTGTTTTGTTGGTAAGATGGAAGTGCAATGGTTTCATTGACGATGTTACATATCGCAGATTACTTACTACTGATGGTGTTATTCCTAGAGCTTACGGTTTAACCAAAATACATAAGGATGGTAACCCATTGAGAATTATAGTGTCTTCCATTAATGGGGCATTATATGCTCTTTCTCTTTTTATACACAACATCATTAATAATAGTATACCGAAGACGTTTAGTCATATTAAAGACAGTTTTCAATTGGTAGAAAAATTGAACGGTAGAATTGTTGACCCAGGTTATGTTTTGGCTTCGCTTGATGTGGTGTCCCTCTTTACAAATACTCCTACCGATCTAGCATTGAATAGCATTGATAGGAGATGGGAACACATCTCGGCGAAGACTTGCATTCCAAAAAGTGAATTTATCATTGCAGTTAGATTTATTTTGGGGTCAACTTTCTTTGCATTTAATAAAAAAATTTATAAGCAAGTATTTGGTACTCCAATGGGTTCACCTCTATCACCTATTATTGCTGATATGGTTCTTCAAGATCTTGAGAGGAGTGCCATTAACAAGCTAAGGGTTGAGCCGATATTCTACTTTAGATATGTAGATGATATTATACTTGCGCTTCCATCTGACAATATAATTGACACACTCAACACTTTCAATTCATTACATACCCGATTACAATTTACTTTGGAAGTTGGTACCGAGGGTAGAATCAGTTTTTTAGACACTAAAATTATCATACAAAATAATAGAATTATTTTTGATATTTTTCATAAAAAGTCTTTTTCCGGTAGATTCCTCAATTTTTACTCCAACCATCCTTTCTGCCACAAGAAAGGTACAATTATCAGCTCCACAGACAAGATTCTATTACTATCACATCCATCATTCCACCAGAAAAACTTGATTGAAGCTATCAACACTTTTCTAGACAATGGTTATCCACTAACCTTACTTTTTTCCACAATAGAACAAAGAATAAAATTCCATACACTTAATAAAGATACTACACATAATCTACCAGTTAAAGACAAATATTTTACTATTCCTTATGTCAAATCAATTTCTGAGAGTTTTCTACCTATTTCTAGTGTGTTCCATTGTAAATTAGCATTCACTATCCCTAACACACTGAAGAGTCTTATTAAGAGGGGCAAAGACAAGTTGGAATACATGTCAAATCAAAATGTAGTATACAAGATCTCTTGTGAAGATTGTGATGCCAGTTATGTCGGCCAAACAAAGAGAAAGTTGAGTACGAGATTAAATGAACATAAGGCAGACATTAGAAAGAATACTGGTTCACCAACTGTAATAACCGACCATCGTGTCAATTTTGATCATAACTTTAAATGGAACAATGTTAGAATTCTTGACAGCGAATCTTCTTATAACAAGAGACTTGTATCCGAAATGATCCATATTAAAAGACAGAAATATGGTATTAATAAAATGACAGATACTGAATCATTACCAGATTCGTATTCTAACATCATACGAGCTCTTTCCCCTTCATAATGCTTTCCCGTTACACTTCTTTCCTTCCCATCTTTTTTCCCTTCCATTTCTTTTCTCCCCTCTCTTAATTTACTCCTTCCGTTGGAGTTTGCTTTTAAATTGTCTTACCGGAATTTGTTCGGTCATTTGTGTTCTGTACATATATACGAGATGTTCTTTTGGCTCTCGTCGCTTAACTGTGATTATGGAAAATACACTAAGATATACACGATCTTCCAAATTATTGAGAGAACAATGTATAATACTGCGGTTCATGATAATTAAGGTATACTACTATTAATTTTTTAACTAATTACTCATTTTTTTACGTTATTTACGACAGATTTTGTACGTCAATTATGACATATTCCGAATAGTGTTTACTTCAACGATCAATATTTTTTGTTCTATATTACATCGATTATTACACATTTATTCTCTCTTTCTTACATCATTTTTTGTACATATTTTTTAGTTTTATTAATTACTTTATTTTAATTCTACTCAATTTTTTTCATATTGTACTTTCTATTTAACATTATTTGAGAACCTAACGTTTACTGAATTTTTTTATCAACATTTGTGTTTTGCTACATTTAATGATTGTACATAATTTTTATCAGACATTACATTAATTTTTCCACGCACAATGCCGAAAGTTCTAAATTGTTGCTGGATTGGAACATTCATACGGACTTATTACATCTCAAGTTCTTCCATTTTCTTACATTTAAGTTTGAGATCTAGAGCGATTATATATAATTTTTATATTCTTTTATTATTGTACTGTTTACGTTTTTATATATAACATTGATAATGATCCGATATGGATCGAAACGTTTGTTGATTTTTGCGTTAGTTGTTCTATTTACCATCACATTAAACTTGTCAAAATATAAATATATGTGATATGTTATTTTTATTTCAAATTTTATATTTTTAACTATAACGACAAATTTCAGGCTCGTAGCCCTTTTGCTTTCTAAAGTTTATTAAAAAATTGTTCATTAGCTCGTAGCCCTTCTAAAATGCTTTCTTTATGTTTAATTTATATTTCCTTTAAGTTTTGGTAATTATTACTGGTTTACTATTTTGGTTTACAATTTACTTTCAAGGTAAAACTACAAAGAAATGTATCGTGAAATGCTTTTATTAAAATTCTGTGTTATTTTAATATCAAAGTGTTTTGATATTGCCAATGTTTCTATACATATTAGTCACATCTTATTAAATCCCTTAAACAGGCTTAGATTACTGTGCGGCGCGTAGCACCGGATCTCCGAAGAAAGAAGGGAAAAAATATTTTTAATGATATTCGCATTATATCAAGGACATTATCGATTTCAATGATAATGAAGCGATTGATGTTACTGGGTTTTTTAATCATCGTAGTATCATGCCACGAGCCGTTTCAAGTAATCTTTGAATGGAAGTCGATTGATTTCCAATGGCCATCGGACGAAGAACGGCAATATGCTGTAATGCGTGGCGATTACATACCAGCAAATAATTTCATTACTACGGTGAAATTTTGGAAGGATAAAATGTATCTGACATTACCGCGATGGAAAGACGGCGTGCCGGTGACGCTAGGCATGACTTCGACAAAACCGATTAACGGCATTACAGCGCCTAAATTGGAGGCCTTCCCCACCTGGGATATGCAGAAACTGGGTGACTGCACGGCATTTCAACTGGTCCACGGCATGGAAATCGATCTTAAAGGTCGCATATGGATACTTGACACAGGTCGACCCACATCTCTCAGAGAATCCAAAGCCGACTGCTCGCCGCGACTTGTCATTTTTGATCTCGAAAACAATAATAAGATCGTTCGTACTTATCAGTTCCCCGAACATGTAGTTCGCTGCAAAACTGCGTACCTTAATGACATTGTTCTCGATCACGAGGATGGCGGTATGGCATATATTACCGATACTGATATTACCGATCCCGGCATCATTGTGTTCTCTTTAAGAGACAACAATTCTTGGAAGATCCGACACGATTCTATGAAAGCAAAATCGGAGGCGGTTGGATTCATGGTAGCAAAGACGCATGTAATCAATCCAGTGCATGTGGATGGCATAGCGCTTTCACCGGCAAGCAGTCGCAACAGGTAAGGTAGACCTTCAGATTAGTACCTTTTTGCGTAAGATTTCCTTTTCCAAAGTCATTGGAAATATATCTGTCGTAATTTTTTACATTTTTCATCCTTATTCTAATAACACATTTGCAAAATTAAATTGTTGCATGCTTCATCTCTTATTCATATCAAATAGCGTACAAATACAAGGAATACAGCGCCAGAGGAAAACGGTACTTTATATAAGGATGATACTGTTCTCATAAAAAAGAAAATATCACAATATAAAACTTCACAAAATAAATAAGCCGTTGTAATCACACGCACGCGCGTACACACAAATCAGCTTATAATTAAATACAGTGAATGTTCATATTAGTGGAGGCCTCTCCAATGACTTTGACCTTGACATATGTTGTCAAGGTCATGATCCTAAGTAACCTCCAAGAAGTTTTAGCTATCGCTCGTTATTCTTTATAGTAGGGGAGGCCGAGAGGCTAAATGTGGATTTACTCGAGCGCCGTGGGGACCTATTGGATTGTGAAGATTAGATGCTAAAAAGAAAAAAAAGGTTATATGATGTATGCCGTTTCAGTGGTGGGGGGAGCGTGTACAGGCTTTACGGCGTGAACAGGCGTGTACAGTACTCGAGCGTGTCAGATATTAATAGTGTAAGCGATTCACTCATGTGTTTCTGATAACGGATAAATATTAATCTGACGGTTTGCGTGGTGGGGTTAGCTGTAGGAAGGGGTCAAAAAATCTTTTTTTTGCAACTTTGTGACTCTCCCATTTCCTTACGTCACGCTGAAATCGTCAGATTATTGAAATGTACACTTTTTTACATGTAATTAACACACCATACCTTAATCTGACGCGCTCGAGTTAGATACTAATTTGACGGGCTCCCCTGGACCCCTGGCTCTATATAGAGGTTTAATATGTGGTGGGGGTACTTATTAGGGTGCAAGATTTCCCCCTTTATGTTATTCTGACGCGCTCGAGTAAATCCCAAAATCCCCGCTTGGCCTCCCCTACTATTAAAAAGTTATTGAGAAGGAAAGTTTGAAAAATGATGTCTCTTTTTACTATATAGAATAAAAATTGTCGGCTTTAATATGTATTTTGCAACTGTTCATACGAAACGAGTTTCACCCCACTACTCCCATTACCGAGAGGCGTTCAATTTTCCACGTGAAATGACTTTCATCAACCCCCCCCCCCCTTCTCCGTTTCAGTGGCGCACGACTTTCCACGCAAAGCGAGTTCCACCCCACCGCCCTCCCCACCTCCCTCCACAGCCAAGGGGCACACGATACACGACTTTCCACGCAAAGCGAGTTTCATTCCATCTCGTCAAGTTTGCAGCGAATTTATTGTAATTTCTAATTATTTATCAAATTGCCACATAGAAATTAAGCGTATTTAAAATAAGTAATATTTTGACACATATATAGGGGAGAATTGGCTAAGTCGTACCGACGGTTAAATCGTATTTCCATTGTATTTCCTAAATGAAACATTTTCATTTAATGAAATAACATTGGTCGCGTTCAGCAGATTCAACTGTTGTCGAGCGGATCCGTGAGCGCTCGCTGCTATTGGATGATTTACCAGATATGTAAATATGAAACCGGAATTTTTTAATAGAAGATACACGTTTATTGCATGAAGATGATAAAAATATTTTATTCGAAGTATTGCCCATCGCTAGCTATACATTTTTCCCACCTGTCTGACAATTTGTGGATGCCACGCTAAAAAAATTGTTGCTCTTTTGAGCCAAACCAGTCATCTAGCCATTTTCGTACATCTTCGTAAGAAGTGAAACGCTGCTGAGCAAGTGCGTGTCCCATCGATGCAAATAAGTAGTAATCGGACGGAGCCAAGTCTGGTGAGTAAGCCGCATGCGAAAGTATTTCCCAACCAAACGCCTCAATCGTTTCCTTGACCAGTTTTGCTGTGTGTGATGGTGCATTATCATGAAGCAAAATCACTTTGTGTTGCCTTTTTTGATATTCCGGTTGTTTTCCACGCAAAGCTTGATTCAAATTGATCATTTGTTGTCAGTAGCGTTCAGTATTAACGGTTTCGCCAGGTTTTAGCAGCTCATAATAGGTCACATCTTTCTGATCCCACCAAACACAGAGCATTGTCTTCCGTCCATAGCGGTTTGGCCTTGCAGTCGATGTCGATGGTTCGCCTGGAGTTACCCATGATCTTTTACGTTCAAGATTCTCAAAATATATCCACTTTTCATCGTCAGTCACAATTTGATGGAGAAATGACTTTCTTTTGTACCTGGCGAGCAGCATTTCGCAAGTGGTTTTTCGGTTTTCCTGCTGTCTTTCATTCAGTTCAAGTGGAACCCATTTTCCCATCTTCTGGATCTTTCCCAAGGATTTCAAACGTATGGAGACGGCTTCTCGTGTCACATTCAATTGATCCGCGAGTTGTTGTTGAGTTTGAGCGTCATCCTCATCCAACAATGCTTACAATTCGCTGTCTTCAAATTTTTTCGGTGGTTTTCCACGTTTTTCGTTTCTCATGTCAAAATCGCCACATTTGAATTTTTTAAACCACTCAAAGCGCTGTGATTTATCAAGAGCATTCTCACCATAAGCTTCGACAAGCATTCGATACGATTCTGCAGCAGTTTTCTTCAAATGGTAACAGAAAATCAATGCTGTCCGCAAATCATAATTTCCAGGCACAAAATTCGACATGTTCAACGCTATTACAAACTATACTGTTGTATGAAACTTGTATTGTTGTGAGTTGAAAATCTTTGTCAGATGTCAGAACAAAGAAATGGCGTCAATGACGCGGTCTGACGGCACTACATTGACAGCTATGGCCATCTATTTGTAAATTCCGGTTTCATATTTACATATCTGGTAGAAGAATACATCAATAACAGCGAGTGCTCACGGATCTGCTCCACAACAGTTGAGTCTGCTGAATGGGACTATTGATATGACGCTGGTGATATGGGTTAAGAACTATCATTTTTGTTTTATCTTCGAGTCGTCTGTTTACGAGTGACATTCAAAATTAATTTTGTTCGGTGTCTGATCTAAGTTTTGGTACAATTTACCTAAGGTGTTATATCAGTACAAGGTGGGTAATTGAAATATAGTGTTCTTCATGGTTATAATTGATATTTAAACTCTTTTCGAGTATAGTATCAAATTATTAAAAATATTTGTAAGTTATGTTGCTATTGGCAAATTTGTAAAAAAATAGAGGGAGTTGGATAAATCGTACTTGTCGTTAGTCTTTATATTGTACCGGTATGGTTTTTGCAAGTGACGCGAGCAATATGTGAAGGTTACTATTATGATAAAAAAGGACCTATAGTAGACTGGATTCAGTGTCAGGTGCTCTAAGTGGTTGCACGAAACATGTAGTTACAATCCTGACATTTACCAAAACTGTTTAAATAAGCGCTCAAGAAAGTGAGTACATATTAACTATTGATTTTATTTACAAAATTTATTTTTTCAAAATAGCTGAGCTTTAATATTCTGAAATATAGTGCAATGATAGCTTAAATCAATTTAAGTATTGCTTTTTACCTTGCTTTCTTGAATGAGTTTAAAACACAGTCTAATTTCTGTTTTTATAATAGAAAAGTTTTGATTACACCTACTTAAATATGTACACTCAGTTTGAAATTAAAAATAATTTAAAAATAAATAAATTAAAATTTAATAATAAATAAGTTTTAAAATTAATTTTGCTTATTTTTGAACAAATTGATGTTATTTACCGTCATTTTGACGTTAAAGATGTTATTTTAATGTCAAAATGACAATAAGCAATGTCAGCTTCTTTGCTATATTAGAAGTACGATTTAGGAACCAGGTGGTACAATTTAACGACCCGGTCTCCAAATCGTATCGAAATCTACTTTTTTAAAAATCTAATTTAAACAATAATTTAATGTTTATTTTCATAAAAGTATCGCTTTTTTTGTTGCCAATGAACCAAAGTTTAACGTAAGTACAGAAATATTATGATCTCTTTAGTACTTTTGTTACAATTTTATTTAAACGTTAGGGGGTACGATATAGGCAACTTTCCCCTATAATTAGGTTCAATTGTTCAATGTAATAATTACTGTTAACAATATAAATAATGAAAGGGGCATGTAAAAGTCGGTTGTAAAGTTTGCACAAATAAAAAGTAAAAACATTTTTAAAAACAGAAATTGACTATAATTAAATTAAATTAAACTTGAAACAATGATCGTAACATAATATGTTTCGGCTGCTTATTTGAGCCTTCTTCAGATGTTATAAGCAAGTATTGTCACGAGTACAAAATTGCACAAGTGACAATTGCGCCACGAAACGTGCCGAAAGTTTAAACTAACAATTAGAGCAATTATATTATTCAAAATAAAATAAACAGTACACTGAGAGAATAGATATAGTATTGGTAACAAAAAAAGAGAATTATTCACAAATGGCCGATTATTATTGGATTACTTTGTTAAAATTACAAAATACAATATTTTTTTGTAAGATGAACAAAATTTTTTTATTTAACATTACAAATTTATTTGGTTTCTCACGTTTTGTAAATACCAATGTAAAATTTGGTTGCCATTACAAAATAAGTATTCTTTTAGTAATTTCAACAAAATAATCCACTATGGTAGAGCAAGGAGTGTTTCGCGGAGCTATCAGAGATGGCGTGTCTTCTCGTAAGAGAAATTCAACGTCTACCTCTATAAAACCGAGACGATTAGAGACTAATCTCGTGGAATTCTCGGTTCTCGCCATACCATGATCAATCATGGTAACTATTTTTTTAGAGCGATTAGAAATCTCAATTGCTCTAAATCTATATATATTTTCGCTAAGCTAAGGAAATTAAAAACGCCAAACATAATTACTCTGTAGAAAGTGAGAGATATTTATATATTATTCATTTTGTTCCGGTAACAAAATGTTCTATTTTTAATTACAAAAGATCTATAAACATCATACAAAACAGTTTTGTACCATTAAATGATCAGTTTAGTTAATA